GAACTGCTATAGTGTAAGATGGAAACTACATTTTCACATATCATGTGTGTGGTTTCATTCTAGCTTGCAATGAAGCTTTTGATGTGGCTACATATGTTGTGTTTTTGAGGGACCCTAACAAAATGCAAAGAGCAGGAATTCCTGTTCAGAGAAATAGATAAACAGAATTTGAACTCATGGAAAAATGTGGATGTGCAGAGCTGGTTGAAAAACAAAGGAAGCCACCAGATCGCATCTGGAGACTAGTTACCAGAAATGAGAATTGCCACAGGATCGGTCACAAAGAAACAATTTATCAAGATCAGATCCAAACTAGAAGGCATCAACCAGAGGTCAGAAATTTAACAGTTATAAGACAGCAAGTCACATTTGACCGGTGCAACAGGTCCACAAAAAGATGGCAAGGCATGGAAAGGAGGAAGGAAGTTTGTGTATGTCTCAATGATGTGTCTGAAAGAAAAAGAAATAAGTTATAAATGGAGAAATGTGTAATAGTCTCACCTCAGAATTGTACTTTGAAGAAACTGGATAGGAATGGACAGGGATGATATTCTCAGAAGTCTTCTACATACAACCAAGAAAACAAGGAAATGGATCATTGAACAAGGTTATCGTTCAAGCATAAAGGAGCAGGCTCAAATTATGCCCCACATTATGCAAAGACTTAACTCTCTGGAGTCTGGAGAAAGGTCTATTGCTGGGAAAGGTAGAAAGTAAGAGAAGAGGATGACCAGCAGCAAGATAGAATTACTAGTTACAGTGGTGATGAGTATTCCAATGGAAGTCCTGAAAGACCAAGTTAGGAACAGAGAAAATCAATCTATGTGGTTACTAGGAATTCACAATTACTTCATGACACATTAATTATCTCATATTGTTTCCATCCATTAGTACAGGTTTTTTTTTTATTGTACGGACTGACAAACTTTTAAGGAAGTTTGAGCATATTTGGAGTGTAGAGAATAAAGCCTTCCAAAGATGCTATCTATCACTTCTCAACATAACATTGTCTTTTAAAATATATAATTAAGCAACCAACCTCCAATATTATTTTCAAAGAATGCTTTTATTCTGTGTAGGGCCCAGTGGAAAAGAGCATTCTACAAAGATCATGCTTAAGGCTGGCATTTTGCTTTGAAACGTGCTTGCTTCTATTTTAGAGAAAGAGGGAGAGAGAGAGAAAGAGAAAGAGAAAAGCCAGGTGGGACTGGCAGCCTGCTGGATATCAAGGGAGATATTTACTCCAACAGCCAGATGTCAAGTAGAAAGGGGTTTTCTCTATAGAGAAAGCAAATGGAAAAGCAGCATTGCCACACTGCAACCCAAGCTCTGCCCTCTTATGTCTCGGTCATAACATCAAATGCAGATCCATTGCAATAGCAGACTACTGCTCTTGCCATTTGAAAGAAAGCTTCAGATCCTACAGACACCTCTGGTTCCCCCCCCTTTCCTAACCACACTGCCTGAAATACCATAGATAGAATCTGAGTTTTCAGTAGGCTGCTTGTTTTGTCTGCACAATTAGATCTATCTTCCCATTAGGCAAAAACATTTAAAATTTACTTTTGAAAATGCAGGCTGGAACTCAAAAACAGGGAGGATGAAACCTGAATCAATCTAGCCCTTGGAATTGTGGATTATTTATTTCATGTGTCTGGGAAGCTGCAATCCATAAATATCTGACGGGTAATAAAATCTTCACCCCTGAACTTAAATCAGTACGTCCCTCTAATTCTGAAAATCAGGGTACCTCTGCTAAAATAATAGCTATTAAAAGTTGGGTAACTTGTTTACTTTGTTTTTGGTATGTGATTAACATTTGATGGGGGGCCCTCCAGTATTCTATGAGGATTGTAATTGGAGACCGTATTTATATTGCTGATTTTTAAATCAATCATTATCTAAATATTTTCTTTGCCCAAGCTCTTAACAGATTATAGATGTTATCAGTGTTACCAACACACTGAGTAAAAATGTGATGTTTCTGTCTTCTTAAGAGATGGAGGATTGCACCTCTGGGTGAGAACTGTGATGCCTCTCAAAGGATTTGTCCCAGTATGCACTGCTGAGCTGTCGGGAAATGTGTAAAATATCCATGATTATCTTCAGAATGATGTTCTTACCCAAAATGAAGAGCTGGTCCCTAGCCTTACTGTTTGTAGTGACAATATTGGCTGGGAACATATAGCTTACTGCACAAGACAGACAAACATTTAGCCATGTCCTATTTTTATCTAGGTCTTCTCCTCCTAGGAAATACCAGGAGGGAAGCATTCAAACCAATACAAAGTCTTAGAGTCTAGCAGATTGTGGAGTACATGACAACAGTGCTAAATTTTGCATTTCAGTGTTTGTCATCTGGAGCTTGCATTTTTCTGGAACCTTTACTTAACAAACTGTCTAGCCAGGGTCTTCCTCCTCCTGGGTATTTTCCAATGTGAGGCAAGATGTGAGAGACACGTACTGCTGCTGGCACAAAGATTATTTGCAAATAATATCTATAAAGCCCAGTGTGTCTGCTTAGAGCTATTAGCTAATATTGATTAATTCCATACACACATATAAACACACACACACACACACACAATATTTTATCCTTTTTATTTTAAGTAATACCTTTCAGAGAGGGAAATAAAGCTAATGTGAGGTCATTGTATTGTTATCAGCTATTAAAACTTAATACTTTCAAAAGAAAGTTTTTTATGTAAGACAAAAAATAGACTAGGTTTTTAGACACGGTTGTATCAGTGCCACTGGCAGCAATATCTGCTAAGACACACGCAAGGGCATAGCCAGGCCTTCTGTACGTTAACTCTAACCCCCACTGCCCCCCAACCCTAACAGGAGATGGGAGGCACATTGTGGTTGCCCTGGGTGGAGTGTGGGTGCATTGTGGTTGCCCTGGGTGGAGTGTGGGTTAGAGTTGGGGTTAGGCATTGTGGGTTAGAGATGGGAAGGCCTGGAAAACTTGTGAAAAAAACAGGTTTTTCCCCCGTTTGTTTCCAAACTGCTTTGGAAACAAATGGGAATTTTTTTTCCCATTTTTTCCTCCAGGGCTTCCCATTTCCCATTAGGTTGGGAGGCAGTGGAGGTTAGAGTTAACATATGGTAGGCCTGGCAGCAGCATTTGGCATGATGCCTGAGGCGGCAAATGGCTGCATTGTGCCGAAACCGGCCATTTGCTGCCTCGTGCATTGTGCCCAATGCCGCTGCCATGAGGCCACGAAACAAGCCGGGCAGCGGTAAGGAACCAGTATACCGGTACTGTTGATCAGATCCCCCTCCCCCATCAGCTTGGCCTTGTCACAGAGGCACTGGCAGATCCCCCCTTACCTTGTGTCTATGGTGAAACCAGACGGAATCAGCGGCAGGCCATCCGTGCAAGCCCTTAAGTAGGGCTTACTTTCGGGGGAGGGCTTATATTAGCCAACACCCCCCCATGAAAATCAGCTGGGACTTACCTTTGGGGGCAGGTTTACTTTTGGGGAAACACGGTAACTACTGTGATGTACTCAAACCAGGCTGTCCTTGAAAACTACTCAAAGCATCAGCTGACCCAGAATTCAGTGGCATAGACAGTATGCCCTCATGATACCTCTGTTTCATGAGCTGCACTAGTTACCAGAATGCTTTTAAGTGTAATTCAAGGTGCTGGTTATGACCTATATAGCTGTCAGTCCCATTAAGTTAGAGCAGAGCAGGAAATCCATTGATAAAAGAGGCTAAGACTGTTTTTATTGAGAATGGTTATGATAACAGAATCTTGCAAGTCTGATTGTACTATACCTCCTCCTCCTTCTTATACTGTTGTGAGCTAGGGAGGTGTCTGTCTGAGCGTCTTATGAATATTTTCTGCTTAAGATATGCTTCATCTACTTTTGCCTAGTAATGGTTCCTGCATATTTTCATCAAGGTTATCTTCCCTACTCTCTAAAAAAAGGGATTGGTTATCTGAGGGACTGCCTATATTTCGTGAAGTCTGTCCAGTTGGTACAAAATGACAGGATTGGCACACTCTGGGTTCCTTCAATTACACAATGTTATCTTTCCAGACTCAAGAAACATACTTTCTACTTTGTGATGACTGCCTTCTAAAATGAGATTCCCCCTACTATCCATGTGATTCCCTACTCCCTGGCCACAGTGGTATTCCAGAAAGTCTTAAAGTCTTGGCTGTTCTCTCAGGCTGTTCTCTCTGCAACCCCTGTCAAATTGTTTGAGGGTATATGTATGTGTGTGTGTGTATAATTACTCAGTCAGTTGCCATCAGTTTTTCTTTTTCATTATTTTCTTATAATTATTAAACGAATTCATATATAGGTCAAAATATTATATTGTATTTACTATTCTGCTTAGTTTTTTATTATACCCATCTAGAAACAGTTCAGATTTGGACAGTGAGAAAATAGATTAAATTAAATTAAATTAAATTATCTCTCTGTTGTTTAACCCTAGAAGGAATGTTTCCCTCTGTGGGAAATATATCAGGTGGAAATCCAAAAGAAGATCTTAGTTTTGTCTCTATCGACAGCAGTGGAATTCAAATGAGCCTATTTTGCTATTTTCAAAAAGAAAATGTAAATTATTGCATTTCAGAGGGATTTTGGAATTGATTGACTGTTCATGTTGCTTGTATGGAGAGGGTGTTCTATGGAGAACACGCCAAGTTTGTTATAGCTTTATTTGGATTGTTTCTACTGCATTTCTTTTGAAATGGTTTTATTGTTGGTTTTATTTTTATATTCATATTTTTTTGGTCTGTGACCGCAAAATAAAAAAATATTATTATTATATTCATATTTTAGATTTATTCTGTAAACTATCTGTAGCTGGATGTAAAGCCTAATGTGTTTTGCAGGAAGAAGAAGCATAGACTTCAAGGCATGATTCATTTGCAGAAGTGATTATTATATTCAAAACTTATCAAACTGGTCATGACCTGTGCGTAAATATGTCAGTGTTGCATCAAACTCATTCATATTCTGCTTACCCCATTTTAGCCTTGAAGAAAGGACGATTCTGGATCACACCTGACCCATATCATAAAGACGACAACATTCAGATAGGAAGAGAGGTCAAGATCTCTTGCCAAGTGGAAGCAGTTCCCTCTGAAGAGCTCATGTTCAGTTGGTTTAAAAATGGTCGGCCACTGCGCAGCTCTGAAAGGATGGTGATTACTCAAACAGATCCCGATGTCTCTCCAGGAACCACCAATCTGGACATCATTGATTTGAAATTCACTGATTTTGGGACGTACACATGTGTTGCAGCTCTGAAAGGTGGTGGCATCTCAGATATCAGCATCGATGTCAACATTTCCAGTAGCACAGGTGAGGGTGTTTCTGTAACTTCCCATAGGTCACTTATAGGAGTTCAGTGCCAATTCTTTTAGGAAGATAGGAAGCTTTCTGAAAGAAAGTCAGGTAATTTTTCCATTGAAATTCAATGGAACAGGCAAACTGCAACCATTAGCCTAATTTAAATACCTTTTCCTCTGCAAACTAGTTTTATGGAAGATACACTTTCTTCAGTGGGAGTGAAAGACAGAGAAATAAGAGTGTGTCACAAAGAAAGGATATCAGCAATATAAAGTTTAGAAAAAGAATAAGTTGTTCTTCTCCTGTTTATGTGTCATTAGCCATTGGCAATCTTCCCCTTGCAAATTACTCTCAAAAGCATGAAGACCCTGTTACACTCCCTGTTTAACCAAGCAGCTGTTTTCACAATGGATTTTTTTACCCAGTCACCTTAAAAATACAGGGAACTAACTGATGGAGATTTTGCATTCAAAGCACACATGCTGCCACTGTGCTATAACTCTTCAAAACACTTCCACATTGATGTAGGAATGAATATGAGAAACATTTGATCTGAAAATAGCTTTGCTCATAGGAGTGGGGGATATGGTTGTTTGGTGGTGTATTTCATTTCAGTTCTAGCAAAACATATGCCAAAAGGCAGAACATGTGTATCTCTGTATGTGTGCTATCAAGCAGATATTATTAAATGTCTGGCATATGATGGATGAATAATATTTGCTTATATTTGTCTTGCAAGGCTGAAGCAGAGAGGGCCATTCTATTCGTGGAGTGTTTCTCCTCCAACAGAAAGCAACCAATGCATTACCATTTCTTGAGATAGATTCATTTGGAAGAGCAATTGGATGTATCAGAAGAATCCATCAGATGGCTGTACCTGAAAGCTTTTCATAGCTTCTTCAGCCAGTGATAGATTGCTACCCACTGGACATGGTGCTTCACCATGTGTAAAGAAAAGTCAAAAGAGAGAAAGAGCAAAACCAATGCTTGTAGGGTGCTAATACTCTCAAATCTGTTGTAGGATCACCTTGGTCATAAAAGAACTGTGGACATCTTACTATGTATGTAAAATCATTACTAACTTACCAAAGTCCATGTTAACAATTATTTAGCTATGGATTTATATACATTATATTTTTTGTTAAATAAATTCAAAATAACTAACACAGAAATTATATATCATGAAATGAATTGGGCATGCAAATGTATTAATTCCTTTAAAAGCAATCTTGAAGTCTAATTAGTTCCAATAATAAATCTAATTTCATACTTCAAAATGGTGAGCAAAATCTAACAACAGAAGCATAGAACTTCAAGCCATGTCCAAAACTTGATGAAAAAAAAAAGGTTTTTCTAAATTTAAATATGTAACATACTAACTGTTAGGTGAGAACATACATAGATTCTGGAAGTTAGAGACTCAACAAGGTACTGTACCCTGGAAACGGATAGAAGTGGAAGAAAAATGATCTTTTTGCTGTAGGTGGATGGCATTTCCAAGGAGACAGCCTTTCTCCTGGGTGTCCCATTTAAGTATTGTTGCTGAGCCTTTACTGGAGACATGTTATGGAACTCTAAAAAAAACTCTCAAAGATGAGACTCAATGACTGCTGTAGAAGATTATAGTCAATCCCAAAACATCCATTTACCAGGAAATAATCTGCAGATACATCCTGACACCTCTCTGCAGGATTTTATGTATCACTTCACCTTAGCTTTGTCCTTTTGCTTGGCAGACGGGCATCCTCTCAAAAGTCCAACTTTTTTTTCCAGTTTCTATTCTTGTCTGTGTGACTTGGAGTCATTCTTCTAAATAAATATGTTGCCAGAAGCAAGCATTTGGCTTTGTGGAATGCCAGCTTACCTTGCATTTTTCATTTTTGAAATCTATCATCTGTCTATCTTTCGGTTCAGTGAACTTGGAAATGTGTATTGGTAATACCAGATTTAACATGACACCCCATGTATAATCCTTCACCTAGCTTTGCGCTCTCCGTTTGAATCCATGGTGTGGAAACTGCCTGCCCTGCATCCTGTTTTGTTCAAAAGAGATTCTAAGGTCACCCCTCAGCATTTCATTTAAAAGACTCTTGAGTAGCAAGACTCAGACCATTCACAGTTTCAGATGGTGTGGAAATTCAGCCATCCCAAATATACAATAGTAGGTTTTTTTCTTTGTCTGAATTCTTCAGAGCTTTTGCAACTGATTGGTAAAGCCCATATATCAACCTGGTTAAACAAGATTGTGGTCCAATAGTTCAACTAGATCAGTGTTTCTCAACCTTGGCAAATTTAAGGTGTATGGACTTCAACTCTCAGAATTCCCCAGCCAGCCTAGCTTAAACTTGCCACTGAATTAGATTATTTCTCTCCATAGGCAAAATATTATTGGCCTCCATCTTGTTTTTCAAAGGTGTTACTTGCAATTTAAAAGTATGTTTCCATAGTCTATCAAATATATTTTCATATTCTTTTATATTCTGTCTTTAATTTGAATAGGATAGATCAGAGTGGGTTGCTCTCCTTTCAACTAATTTTTTAATCTACAAAAGAAATTTGCCAATTAAATGTTACTTTCTTATTAAACACTGGGTCTCTGGTCCTTCTGGTGGACTGCTGTGTGCTCTGGGTAACCTTGACAGGGTATGAAAGCAATAATCTTCTTTCTTTTTAGTTCAAAAGTGCTTAATAATGTTTTTTTTAAGTGTCTGGTGTCGTAATAAAAGTAATTTTCTAGTCTATATAATTAATGACTCAGTCAAGGCATTTTCAAGCTGCAGGCATTCATTTAAAAAACATCACTTTTAATATTGCCATTTATTGACTGAGAAAATGCCCTTTTTAATTGAGAAGCTTTTTCCCCCCTTCCTTTTATCCCTGGAAACAAACAGAGGGAGATGAAATCCAGAGGTTTTGCAAAACATACTTCTGGGTCTTTTTTAGGCTTTACATACAGTTGTATGGGAATGACCTCAAGATGGCTGCACAACCAGGCAACTGAAGCCCCACCACTTAATAGAAATGGCTTTTTTTTTTTAAAGGCCCCACTGTTTTGGCATTGTTGACCTCTCCCAATGGATGCTCTGGACAATTTGCCCTTTGTTATTTTACTCATAACTCCATTTGGTTATCTTGTTAATTATTATAGTTTGTCACACAGTCAGCCAGATATTGAGAGTGGATTTGGCATTTTTATCCACCTATCAAGTCCTTTCCAAGGACCTGGGATAGACAAAGGTGGATGTTTGATGGTGTTAAAGATATTGTTGCAGGATGTAAGCTGTTCTGAGTAAAATTGCCTTTTGCAACTCATTGTCAGGGTCATCTTAGTGTTTTTTTTCTCATAGGTGTAGGATCCGCATTTTGGATAACAAGCACCATCTTGTTATCCAAGCACAGCATCCAGGTCTAACTGGGTGAACTGTCTTTTGTAACTGACTGATGGTAATTATGCCAGTGCCAATGGTGTTCAAGTGGTACTCCAAACCACCTATCTGTATCATATAGGGACTCTGGCTGGTGTATAATAAATATTAAAAGCATAAAAACAGTTTACAAAATTTAAAGTGGCAAGGAATATTAACAATTGATTAAAAGGAAGGAGGATCTATTATCATCAATAATCAAAGGGTGATGTTGTACTATACTGTAATACTCTACTTTGTGTGGTCAATTTTGTCCAACATGTTGTTTTCAACAGTGCTCACAAGCAGTGATGTTCTGCCACACAATTGATAGCTGTTGTTTAATTTTAGTCAAAGAGTAGGAGTTGGACAGGTTGCTGGTTTTTAGATGAACTGAATATGGTTCTTGCTGCTTTTGTTTATATATCTTTTGTGTGTATTTGTATTATGGAACTGCAGGAGTAGCACTATAGTTAAAACTGTTCTTCGTTTTTCAGTGTTGTACCACAGCAAGATCTAAAAACTAATACAATCATCATAAAATCAAGTCAAGTTCTTTGATGAAGAGCATTAACGTAGTCACATTTCAAGGAGAAAAAAAAGAATAATGTCTACATTCTTTTCTTAGTGTTGTTTTAGTTCTGTATAGTATAGCAGATTGAGTAAACTGAGAAAACATAGAGTGATGGACAAGAAGAAAACAACCTATTTTTCTGGATTTGGATTATTTCTATATTTCTATATTTATTTATTTATTTATTTATTTATTATTTATTTATAATGTATTTAGGTGGGTGGCTTACAATATAATAAAAAGTTAACAAGTGCAAAAAACAGTTGCACTTAGATTATTAGAATAATACTAATATTAGAATAAAAAGTTAAAAATAAAAACCAATTAATTATTAAATTTTCTCTACCGTGTCAGTCAACCCCAATGTAACAGGTCTCTGTTGGGGCCTCAGGCCAAGTGGCAGAACCTAGTTTTAGACTCTTCTGGAAAGCCAGGAACATGGACGGCAGATCTCACCTGTGACACGAAAATATTCCAGAGGGTGAGGGCCACAACAGAAAAGTTCTTCTTGTTAGGCACAAGAAACCAGGAGGTGGGATAGAGTTCAAAAGTACTACAGGTTTATATCACATCACCTACAGCCAAGAATCTGATCTACTAATGGTCAAAGCAAATTGGTGCTAGATAAGAGTCTACAGAATTATGGGAGGCTGGACTTAGTTCTCTTGTGGATGTATAGCAACTCCAAAATGATGAAAAATTTGACCCCATTCTTGGGCTCAGCCTGGTCATTTCCTACTTCCAGTTGCAGAAATTGGGTTTGTCTAGACTAGTGAAGAGAAGAACTAGGGGTGACATGATAGCACTGTTCCAATATTTGAGGGGCTGCCACAAAGAAGAGGGGTCAGCCTATTTTCCAAAGCACCAGAATGCAAGACAAGAAACAATGGATGGAAACTAATCAAGGAGAGAAGCAAACTTGAACTAAGGAGAAATTTCCTAACAGTAAGAACAATTACCAATTACTCATCCTTGTTCCTTACACTGGGATGTGTATAACACTATATCAAAATATATTCAGATGTGAAATCCTCTTTACTGAATACAAATAATACAATACAAATAATACAAAATACAAATATGTTGAGACTCTAGAAAGAATACAGAGAAGAACAACAAATACGATTAGGGGACTGGAGACTAAAACATATAGGGAATGGTTGCCGGAATTGGGTATGTCTGGTTTAATGAAAAGAAGGACTAGGGATGACATAATGGCAGTGTTCCAAAATATAAAGGGCTGCTACAAAGAAGAGTACCTGAAGGCAGGACAAGAAGCAATGGATGAAAGCTAATCAAAGAGAGAACCAATCTATAAAGGAGACATTTTCTGATAGTTAGATCAATTAATCAATGAAACAACTTGCCTCCAGAAATTGTGGGTGCACCATCATTAGATGTTTTTAGAAGAGATTGGACAGTCATTTGTCTAAAAAGGTATAGGGTCTCCTGCTTGAGCACTGGATTGGACTAGAAGGTCCCTTCCAACTCTGTCATTATGTTATTCTGTCATACCTTTCCAGAGCTGGTTGGGTGCCTCCTAAATTATGCCTTATTTTGTCCAATTTGACATTTAATGACACAGAACTCTCACGTACTAACCATTTCATTTCCACTTCTTGTTTTCTTCCTTTCCTTTCCCCTTTGCACCCATTTGAAGTTCCACCCAACCTGACTGTTCCACAAGAAAAGTCACCCTTGGTCACCAGAGAAGGAGATACCATTGAACTGCAGTGCCAGGTGACCGGGAAACCCAAGCCTATCATCCTCTGGTCCAGGGCAGACAAGGAAGTTCCCATGCCAGATGGGACAATGCAGATGGAGAGCTATGATGGGATCCTGCGGATTGTCAATGTCTCAAGGGAGATGACAGGGACCTATAGGTGTCAAACCAGTCAATATAATGGATTTAACGTCAAGCCAAGGGAAGCATTGGTACAGCTGATCGTACAATGTAAGTCTCTGTTCCCTTTTACTCCACCTTTTCTGCAGCAATGTTAAATTTTAAAATAATGTTTGGGGGATTTCATTTCAATCAACAGATTCATATTTCTCTGTTGTGTAGATTGTTGAGTTGTTAGTCTTCTATGTGAAATTCGGTTTTGCAACACTGTCCTCTCTGAAGCAAGAGGATACTGCAATATTTGGGTGCCTATAGACCAGGGGTGGGGAACTATGGTCCTTTTATGACCTATGGACTTCAACTCCCACAATTCTCAAATCAGCATGGCTGGCTCAGGAATTCTGGGAGTTGAAGTCCACAAGTCGTAAAGGGGCCATAGTTCCCCACCCCTGCCATAAACAACAATTACCTTTGACTAAACTGGATTTAGAGATTTGGTTAGTTTGAACAGGGAAGAAATTGGTGTATGTTATTATGTAAAGGGTATCCCTTATTCTTCCCTGAATGGAAAAAAATATTTAATAAATTTGCTATTAAGTCATGCTGACATTCATTGGCAGGGTTCACTCATCATGACAAAACCTATTGTTATGTTTATTTAACATGTTTTGCTCAAACAATAAAACATAATATGGTTTACAATGATAGCTATATTTGTACAGGAAGCTAAGATTTTGGCTGGTTTCCCAAAGATGCTGAAATGCAGATTATACAACTTCATTTTTAATCTACCTAAATATGGTATGTAAATCCCACCAGTAAATTACAGAACATTTTTTTAAAACAAAAAATAAAAATGAAATGCTGGGTATCAATCTTGTTTTAATGTAAACAGGCTTTATTTTTTTAATGGCATATTCTAGAACTGTTTTAATTGGTCTGTTCTTGGTCTTGAATCTAAGATGGAGATCTTCCAGCTTCCCCTCTCAAGTGAAAAATTGGCCTGACAAAATGTGCTGAGGGGCCAAAATTGTTTAACTCCAGCTTGAAACTTCATTAGAACAATTAAAAAGACCCAGTCCCTTTGCAAACCAATGATTGATTATGGGTCATCAAATTGCAGTTGACTTAGAGCAAACACATATTGTAGAAATAATTTCTCCATGATGATCTGTCCCTAAACTGGTCTTTTAGGCTTTGCAAGTGTGCATTCAAAGCCACTGGAACTGAGTCCAGCCATCTTGCTGCTGGTTGTGCTCTTCTCTTCCCTTCCACTGTTCCCAACATTAGAGCCTCCTTCAGTGAGCTGAGTTTTTTTGCATGATGTAGCTGTAGTAGGATAATGTGAGTCTAGTCATTTATGTCTCAAATGAAAACTCTGGATTGGTTTGTTCAGTGATCCATCTGTTTGTTTTCTTGGCAGTACTTGGCAGTATTCTCACAAGTTTTCTTCAGCTTCCAAGTTCAAAGCCATCAATACTCTTCCTACCTTGCTTCTTCAAAGTCCAACTTTTGCTTCCATACAATGTTGTGGCTTGAATGATTTTGATCTTTGTAGGTATAGAGACATTTGAAATTTCTTTTCCAAGTAGCCAATGAAATATTGGTTTTTGTCTTGCTGGAAGCGTGCTTTGAAAACCTATGTCTGAGAGGAAGCAAAACATGAGAAAGCGGGAATTGTGGAGAAATGTAGATTAAAATAAAAGAGATAAACTATCAGAGAAAAAAGATACTGACATATACTTTTCTCTCAAGAGAGCAGTAAGCTTTAAGAGTACAAACCAGTGCTTCAATTTCTGGGAACTAGGCTGCTGTTTTTCTTTTCAACTTCCACAGTTGAACTCCTAGCCAGTGGCTATGCTCACAAGGGATTGTGGGGGTTGAAGTCCAGCATGTCTGACTAACACAAGATTTGGGAAACAATTGCCAATTTGATCTATATATATATATATATATATATTTGTTGGATTCATACAAGACATTAGACCTAGGTTAACCAAATGCAGTGGTTGTGTTCATATAACATGTGTCCAAGAAATCATGACATTACTGGATGATCTGCTTCTTATATGTTCAGATAACAGCTGGCTTCCCACCGTGGGTTTTACCATGGATTTCCAAATACTCTCTGCAAGTAGCTATTTTGATTTTACAGTTTGCTCGGGTTTTTTGCCAAATTGTGCTTTTTAGCAAGTGTTTTGATTAATAAGGCCACAAATATCTTGAATGTTCTCTATCCTTCACCTAATTCCCTTTCAGAGAAAGAATATAGTGAGAAGATTTCAAACAACTGACATACACATCTATATGGCCCTGTCTAACAAAAGGGGGGGAGATGTTGTGCCCCTACTTTGTTTCTCTTTGAATTAGCATATAGCCTTAATTCATAGCTAAGGACAAGGACTCGGTACTCTTTAAAAGCATTGAAATAGAATGTGTAAAAATAATTTAGAACTGTTGTCTAAGAGTGTCTCAAAGAGAAGGTTGGTCCGATCGTTTGCTTGCTTGCCTTAGATGGCTTATTATATAAAAAAGGAAAGGGAGACCTTTTCTCTCCTTTTCCATTAAAATGGTTCTTCAGGTAGATATTTTGCTGCTTGCAGGAGAGGAGATGCTGACTCTAGTAAGGCTTTGCTAATGATTCTTGAGGTCTGTGCTAAAAGCTTAGCCCAAGATAACATTGACTGGACTTCAGTTTGATTTAGGTACATGAAATATGGGTAATACACTGTATGTACATGTAAATATTTGTGTGTGTTCTGGTGACTGTTTTTGACAGCTTTTATAAAATGCCACAGTGATTCCAATCCAGCTAATATTGCAAGGAAAATACATTTAGGAGCTTGTTCTAGCATTGGTTTGTTGTTGTTGTTGTTGTTGTTTTTCTTGTTGCTCAGCAATACTTTTAAAAATGGTAGTAAGTGTTATATAATCTGGCTGACCTTATTCCCCAAACAGTATGAACATTTTTATTTTCTTTGTTTTTGACAGGTAAAGGCATGTTTAAATTTCTAATGACAGCTAGCTTGAGTAGAGCACCTTATTACGATATTCTTTCTTTCTTTCTTTCTTTCTTTCTTTCTTTCTTTCTTTCTTTCTTTCTTTCTTTCTTTCTTTCTTTCTTTCTAAAAAAAGGAAACAATTATATCAATTTCCATCTGCAATAACGCTATCATAAACTATGAATAGGATATATCTCAGAATTTTACAATGGCTTCCTTAAAGTGTGGGGAGGGAATATATGATTCATGATAGTTATTTTATTATTTTGGAAAACAAGAAACATAAACTAAAACCATTCTAAATGTCAATCAAACGATATATCTACCTTGGGAATAAGGCCCATTGTTTTGGAGTATATATCCATAGAATCACTTTCTGAGAATAAAAAAAAGAGATGATATTTTTTTTTTAAAAAAATTGATGATTCCAACATTTTGTATGGTTTTTTTTATGATTCCTGCAGGCCAAGAAGGAGCAAAATTAGAACTACTAGGAATCATGATGGGAACCTTTTCCCTCCCAAAATGGCTGTATCAAATGTGAGCAGGAGTCATTCTAAAAAAGGTGTCACACCAAACTGACTTTTCAATGACTGGACATCATCCATTGCTCAGCTTTCTGGATTCCCGGAACCCTTATTTCCTTTACCAAAGTCGCCCCATTTATTTTTTTAAAAAAATATAACATTCCATTATGCCTGGATAGCTTATAGCAGGGGTGTCAAACTGCCGACCCATGGGCCGGTTTCATCATACCAGAGCTGCACCCACCCCATTGCCGGCAATGGCAAAAAAGCTGCGATACGTCACACGACGTCACGTGACGTCACAAGTTTGACATGCCTGGCTTGTAGCATCCTCCTCAAAAGAGCCACCTTTGAGATAGATAATGTTGCAATGGTTAAAATGCAGTATTGTGGACAAACTCTGCTCATAGGCTGGAATTTGATTCTGACAGACTCAAGGTTGACTTAGCCTTCCATCCTTACGAGGTCAGTAAAATGAGGCCCCAGATTGTTGGGGCTAATACTTTGTAAACTGCTCAGAGAGTGTTGTAAAGCACTATGGAACAGTATATAAATTTAAGAGCTATTGCTATGAACTGCAATTTCATCATCCCCAGCCATTATGCTACAAACTATATAATGGGTCATTGAAGTCTAACATATCTGAAAGGGAGCAGGTAATCCAAGAATGTCCGGATCAAATTGATATATTGAGATGTTGAATGATGCCACAGAAATAAGATTATTGCCCAAAGTTTTGCTGCAACAATTTTGTTAATCTGTGCTAAAGGATATTGGATTTACTTGTATGCAATAAATGTGAAAAGATCTGGGATGTCATCTCATTTCAAAGAAACACATATTCTTTAAAAATTGCTGACCCATCCACTGGAAATAGTTTTACCAAAGTCTTGTGGGGGAAAAAAAAGGAAGACGTGCCATAGCATATTTTGTAGAGCATGTATTCATTTCACTGAGGCTTATCCACTGGATGAGGTCCATTGCTCATCTCAGCCTGATAAAAACACAACAAATCACAATGGAGGAGTAAGCTTGAGATCACATACTTCTGGAGGTTGGATCAGATTTTGTTTTCTACTATTTTTTTTCTCACATCATTGTTAATGAGTTTGGGGGGGAGAAGGAAAGCAGAAAAAAAACTTCATGCAAAAGCAATTGCAAGTGAGCATCTTTGCTAACTTTGAAAACACCTTCAATAGTAAATAAAATACCATCAAGCACATAATATAATGAAATGTTTATATCATGTACCAAGTCAGGAAATCATATAGAAAAGAAAAACAGTAAGTGATTGCTGAGACTCTTGACTGGAGTGATCCCTTTGAATTGATGAACACATTTGAAATTGATAAACACACAAACACACATAGATGTGTGTGTGTGTGTGCAAGTTGATGTAATTAAAAGAAAAGTAACTGTCAAAGGAGCATTGATATTGTATTTTTAGTACTGTAGAATCCATCTCTGCCTTGTACTAAGGCCTATGAGTAAGTTCCCAAACATACCAATACTTCATTATTTTTGGTATCCAGACTCATATGTCATGGAGCTTAACTTATGTTCTAAAACAAACATGGCAACA